GTGCTCTGTCAGAAGGCATGAAACCCCAACCTTCTCCCCAGTTCCTAGTTTTGAAAAATAATATATGCAGTTATGTGTTATTTCACAATAGTTTTAGAGTAACTTAACCGTGCATCTCTTTCTGCATGGCATCTGAAGATTAAACTCTCTAAGTAAACAGTTATTCTATCAGATACACACACACACACACACACACACACACACACAACCACACACATAAACACACACAAATATGCACACACACATGTATATGCGCACACATACCATATATGAACACACGTGAGTAACCTACATATACAGCCCATATTTGTACATACATCTATGTAATCCTTGAATTGTATTCATAAAACAGATAGGAGATTTTTGTTATTAAAAAATTTCCTTTTGGAGGTTTCAGCATATTCTAATTTACAGGTATTCCAGAAGGATCAATATCCATATCAAATTACAAAGTATGTCAAACTAGGTTAAAATAAGGCTTCAATACTACTATATTGTTATAACATAAATGTTTTAATACTTTAAATTAATATACGGAAGTTCTACAGTATAGACACATTGTACATAGTTTACAAATGATGGGAAAATTTTAATAATAACCTGGCTTTAAAAGATTATATGCAAACATCAGTCAAATCTAGTATATTCATCTCATACATGAGGAAAATCCCCAGGAATTGTTTAGGGTTCTTAGGCATACTCTCTTGAGACAGACACTCTAAATACAAAGGATGATTGAATAGGGTTCGGGGCACTAGAACACTTCTCATTACAAACTGACTCCTTGATGGTTGTCTGAATAAGAAAGTACCAGAAAATAACTCACACTGGGGTACTATGACTAATCGATCTATGAAATAATTCAGGGGAAAAGCTGTATTTATTTACTTTAAGTAACTCATCTTCTCTCCATTCCACTTGCGAATAACTGTGCCGAGTTTTGCACCATACTTGAATTCTGTCACGCGGCCATTTCCAAAGTACTGACTGCTTGTAATTGGCTCACCACCCAGATCAATTACCTAGTAGAAATTTGGGAAAAATAACAATTTTCATAAGGACTTTAAGTATTTTAACCAATACGGTAATATTATATACTATTTATTACTAGTTTGGGTCTTATTTTTTCTTTTCTTTTTTTTTTTTTCTGGCCTCAAGCAATCCTCTCAGCTTCCCCAAGTGCTGAGATTGAAAGCAGGAGACACCACTCCCAGTCCTATTTCTGAAATGAAATGCTCAAAATGGTCTTCTTATTCTTAATCTCAACAGGCAATATTTTTATTCTTTATTTTTTGATGAAGTATGCACTACAATATTGAAAGAAACATGATGTCAAGGTTACCTGTTGTCCTGTGAGAATACTTACCTAATTTTTAGTCTTGTACATCAATGATAATAATGGGAACAGCTCACACTCACACAACATTTACTATCTGACTGACATTTCTTGATAAATATTAACTCTTTTCATTTTCCAAAGAAAATAAAGACATGACTGTTATCATTCTCCTACATTCTGTGAACCTCCATAAACCCTGTTGTGATAAAGAATTAGATATGCCGTATCTGAAGACGAGGTTAGAGAACACTGTTTTATATAAGTGACTCAGTCCTTATCCTACAGAAATTGCATTTTTAAGGGAATCTGTCATTGCTTTTCTAACAAATAAGATATTACAATGCATATATGTATTGATGTACCTCCTGGTAAATGAAAGGTTTACTTCCTGCAGGGAACCAGCTAGTGTTGAGATTATGCAGTTTATCCAAAACTGCCTTTATGTCTCCAGGCCACATGTGCTTGGAAGCATCAAGTCTGAAGCCAGCAACACCAATGTCAATGAGATAGTTCATATATTCGGCAATCTTAGAACGCACGTAATCTTTCTCCAGTGCAAGATCCAGAAGACCAACCAGACGACAATCTCTGACCTGTTAAGATAAAAGTGTTGTCATGGATTCGCAAAACATCATTTTCACCTGAGAATACATTTGATGATTCATTGATTCAGTTATCCATCAATAGATATTCTATAGTGACTTCTTTGCACCGGGCACTGAGGATGTTGACACCTTACTGTGGATGTATCTTTGAAATATTATCTAGTAGAAAACAGAGAATTGAGGAAATAAAGTCGATGAACTTTTTAATTGATTGGGAGCTTTTTAAAAGTGGGCAGATGTGTATTGATTAAACAATCTTGAATCAATAGTTAACATTTTTAAAACATGGATTTGAGTCTCTTAAAGAAGTGAAGCCTGTTAACCTGTGTTCTTAAGAGATCTATAATAGTATTTAAAAGGGAGTTCAAATAGCTGCATGTCTATAATAAAAGGCATATATCACTCTTAATCAGATCACTATCTTAAAAAAATTACCTGAGTAGCATCATTGTAGTTCTCAATATCTCCACTTCCAGTTTTACATTTACCATCATTAAAATCCCATCCAGAATATGGAACCGCTGGAAATTCTCTATTTCCAGCGTTGAAGTAACTTCCACAAGTACTGCTTGTTCCTGCACCCGCAGCATTGCCACACATATGATTAATTACAGCATCCACATAAATGCGAACCTGGAAAACAAAGTTTCTACTTCATTGTGACTTAGAGAGAGGTAGAAATTTAAAGCATTTTTGATTAAAGTTTATAGTGTGCTAATAAAACTCCAAAATATTTCCTTTTATCTTATAAGTGTTTCTGTATGAGACCAAAAGTCAAATGTGAAAGGAAAGTAATGGGAACTAGACACCTACATCCATTCTAGAGACTTGGGCAAATATTCATAGGAATGATACATTGAGAGAACCAGAAACTACCATCATAAGAGGAAACACAAGAAGCCCATTTCAGGGAGACAAAACTCAGTTGAGACTGGAAAGATTACTGTTTTGGAAACTTCAACTGGTCACCAGGAGAAAACCTGTACTCTCTGATTCTCTCTCTCTCTCTCTCTCTCTCTCTCTCTCTCTCTCTCTCTCTTTCTCTCTTTTATTATACTTTATGCCTGGGGTACATGTGCAGATCGTGCATGATTGTTAAACTGGGTCCTTCCTTACACTTTATACAAAAATTAACTCCACATGGATTAAAGATTTAAACCTGAGACGTAACACTATAAAAACCCTAGAAGGAAACCCAGGCAATACCATTCAGGACATAGGCATAGGCAAGGACTTCATGACTGAAACATCAAAAGCAATGGCAACAAAAGCCAAAATAGACAAATGGGATCTAATTAAACTTAAGAACTTCGGCACAGCAAAAGAAGCTATCATTACAGCGAACCTGCAACCAACAGAATGGAAAATCCTGCACCCAGCACTTAGCATTTGAAGACAAATAAGGTAGATAGTGGTCTCCTGTTATGTTCCTCACTAAATAGAGAAGCTAGCTATTCATCATGAAAAACCCAAGAATTATGGATGGAGGCATAAGTCATCTAAAAATGATAACAAATATTGCAACTGGAATTTTTAATTACTAACCAGAAAAGTATTTCCAGCAAATATGGATAGCTATAAGGGTTGAAATTTGATGTTTTGCTTTATAAGTAAAAATTCTGCTTTAAACTTTAACTCTTTAGTAGACAGACAGCACATACACAAATACTTACAAAAGTTGAACATAAGGAAAAA